GCTGTTAACAATGGGCCTAGACCCTTTCCTCCCTGATCTTAGTAATGTCAAAGTATCCCCTGATCTTTCTTCAAAGAGGCAGCAGCAGAATCGGAAGTAGTTAGAGAAGGAGACGGCAGCATTTTGAGTTGAGGTACACTCATGTCGGAGTAGACTGCAGCAGAGTGACCACTAGATAACCAGGGAGGTCAACAAGGCAAGTTGTTCCAGTCCTTTGAGAGGAGAAGAGAGCAAAGAGAAGCTAGGGAGAGGAGCAGCAGAGTCAATGGTAAAGCAATGTTATAGGAATGGTAAAAGCAATGGTAAAGCAATGCTATGGGAAAATGGGAGTCAGATGCCTCTCCTATCTCACTCCCATGATCCAAACACCTTCCAAAAGCTTTACTGCTGAGCAAAGAAAGCTTTAGGATGACATTACACATCCGAACCACAATCCTGGTTGCATGTATCACTTTCCAAACCTTCCCTTTCAATATATGCACATCCATTTCAATGAAGTATGTGTCTTGTAGCTAACATATGTTTGGACTTTAAGATCTAATGTCTGTATGTGTCATTTGATGGAGGAGTTAACATTTACATTGGGAGTTATTATTGTAAGGTATTTACTTTGTCCTGTCATTACATTATTTTTCCAGTGTGAATTCCTTTATTTTTCCCCTTTTTTAAACTATTCTAACTGATATATTAATATATTAATGTATGTCAGTTAGAATATAATATAACATATAATATATAATTATATATATATATATATATATATATATATATATATAAAATTTCTTTGGGGCTTCATGATGCTTGTGGTCTCATCTCTGTCTAGGTGTCCCTTAACTATTATCTGTAATGCTGTTTTAGTGGTTATTATCGTGTATCCTTAGATGTACTGCCAATGCCTCATGCAATCATAGGTAGGGCTTTTGAGAAGTGGCTGCATATAATGTGCAATGCTGGATTTAAGCATGTTAAACTGGGATTGATTCACGGTGTAGTGCTAGGTTGAAGGGTGTTAAGATTAAGTGTATGAGTGCTGCCTGGATATAATATAAAAGACAGAAAGTATTCTGCTGTTGTTGATTGGCGTTTGCTGTTTGCTTCTTTAATGCTTTGCTGTCTTCTGCCCACTACAAACTATTTCTCTTCTGCAATGCCCCTCTGCCATGCCACCCTGTCTTGGAGTGAGCCATTATGAATTGAAACCTCTACAAACTGTGAGCCAAATAAACCTTTCCTCCTTTAACTTTGGGTGTCAGATATGTACTGTCAGCAATGAGAAAAGTAATTAGAACAGTGGTCATATATTTTACTTTTATCACAGAGATTCCTTACTTCTCTGTCAGTTTAGAAGCCTAATTTTCCTGCATATTGATGTTAGGACTGACAGTTTTTTTAAGGGCTTGAAAAGCTTCACTCGAAGCTTTCCTTGTCTTAAACTTTGTGCTGGCGAATCCACTGTAATTCTAATGGGCCTGCCTTTATAAGTTATTTGCTATTTTTCTCTAACAACTTTTAGTATTCTTGCCTTTCATTGAATTTCTGGAATTTTGAGTACTTTGTGTATTGAGAAATCTCTTTTCTGGTAATGACTACTTGGGGTTATATATGTCTCTTGACTTGAATAAAGAATTATTTCCCATGGTTTAAAATTTTTTCTGTTATAATTGCAGGGGATATATTTTTACATCTTTCAGTATTCTAATTTTTCTTTATTCCTATAATTCATGATTTTGAGAAGTCTAGTTGCTTTTGGATTCAGTTGCATCGTGTCTTGTTTTCAGATTATTATTGAGTTTACCACCTGTTACATCCACACGGCCTTCAATATCTGACACTGTGTTCTCATTTCGGTCAAATATTTTAATTTCTGTTTGTTTTCTTTACACTTTCTAATTCTTGACCAAAATGGTTATTCATATCTTATATTACCTTGTTTAATTCAACTACTTTTTTCTTTATGATTACTGAAAACAGTAAAATCTTTTAATTTGTATAATTAAATCTCGAAGTTTGCTAAACATTTTGTTTATCTGCTTATGTATTTCTTCCTTAATTTCTTCATCATTTGGACCACTTTTTTGTTTTGTTTCTGTTTTGTTTTGCCTCTAGATTCTACTTTAGTGTTGATGGAATCAGCTTTTGGGGGGAATAAAGCTTTTCAAGTGATAACTTATTTATTAGGGTTACTTAATCTGCTTAACATGATGATCTCCAAGTCCATTCAATTTCCTGCAAATAACATGACTTCATTCTTCTCTATGGCTGAATAATGCTCCACTGTGCATGATGACCACAGCTTCTTTGTCATTCACCTATTGATGGTCCTCTAGGCTGTTTCTACAGCTTAGTTATTGTTCATTATGCCACAGTGAACACTGGTATTCAGGTGTCACTATAGTATGCTAACAATTCTTTTATGAATATACAAAAAATCACAAGGAATTTCTCATTTCACTTTTTTTGGAATGTCCACACTGATTTCCATAGTTATTTTACTAGTTGACCTTCCCAGCAACAACAAAGGATTCATTTTACCTTGAATTCTCACCAGTATTTATCAATTTGTGTATTCTTGGTGATATCATTAAATAGTTGGGTCAATCTAATCAAAGTGGTGAACAACTTTTATAAAACATTCAGCCAGTGATAATATGCAAAATCATGCTATTTTTAATCTGTCATATTATTAGGGAATATCTAAATTTCACAAATAACTTGTGCTTACTTGACCCACACACCAACAGTCCTCAACTAAGCACACATACAAAGTAAACCACAGAGTCACTTTATTAATCCGCAGATCCCTGATTTCCAGTCCATAGTTTCTGATTTTGTAGGTCTGTGGTAGTTCCAAGAATGTGCATTCCTAACACATTACCAGATGATACTGATGGTGGTGTTTCAGGGGCCAAGCATTGAGAACTATCTGTCTAAATGAAAACCGGGTTCCTAAGGGCACTGAGAAAAAATAGGCTTATAATGAGAGCAGCTTGATTAAGGGTGTCTATATTTCTCAGATATAATCATGGAGGACAATGAACATACCACAAGGGCGTGAAACCAGGCACCAATAGATCAGGTGATTGAGGCCTCATGCCATTGCTAGGATTGGGAATTTTTAGTCCAAGAGTTCATTATATGTTTTGGACCAAGAACCATGGTATGTTATTTTTCATTATCCCATGAGAAGTTTTATTTCAAAAAGTCTTTCCTTTCTCTACCACTGTTTGCCAGGAGAAACTTTATCTGTATATTTTCATGAGGCTCATACAAATTAGTATTCCAGTTCATATAGAAAAATACACACAAGAAAGACTACAAAACACTGAGAAGGAAGATCCTATAGCAAGGGATAATTAGCAAGATAAGATATTTGAATATTACACCAGAAAGCTTCCACATATAAAAAAGGAGCAGTGTAGCATCGAACAGAGAAATCACTGAGATAAAGTAAAAAATCCAGAAAAAGACACAACTACATATAAAAACATAGTATATGATAAAGGTAGTGTTTTTTAAGTTACTTTGCATAGTTAAATGTTTTTATAACTGTTGTAGGAAAATTAGATAGCTGCATGCAAAAGGACAAAATTAGAAATATTTTTAACAAAACATATGAGAATAAAATTCAAATGGATTAAAGTGCTAGATGAAAATCTAGGACGGCAGGGGATGTAGCTCAGTGGCACAGTGCCTTCCTGGAAAGTGTAAGGTCCTGAGTTGATTCTTGGCACCAAAAAAGAAAAGGAAAACGAGAAAGAAAATCTATACATATACCAAAAGAAAATTTCGGTAATGATAAAGCATATCTAAATATAAATAAAAACTTAGCTAAAATAAAAAATAAATGTACTAGTTGACCAAATTAAGAAATTTTTAGGGCTGGGGATTTAGCTCAGCAGCACAACGCTTGCCTGGCAAGTGCGAGGTCGTGATTTCGATTCCCACTACCAGAAAAAAAAAAGGAAATATTTAAAATTACAAGAAAAATAACAACAAAGAAAGCAAACAAAAAAGTTAGGAAAATATGTGCAAGATAAAGCACAGATAAATGATTAAGAGACCTCCTTTATATGAAGGCTTTCTAAATTTGAATGAAGACCAAAACGTTATAGACAAAAACTTGAAAATATATTTAACTTTACTCATAATGAAGGAAATATAAACTAAAACTACACTATGGTGCCAGTTTTCATTCTGCAGGTTTGCAAAATTACTGAAAGTTGCTAATAACCTCTGTTGGTGGCCGTATGGAAAAATGGGTGCTCTTATATATTTCTGGGATGGATGCAAAATGACATAAAGCCTATGAAGGATATCTTAGCAATATCTAACAAAACTATATACACATTATCCTTTGAGAAATTCTGCTTTCAGAAATTTACCATGATGAAATATCAACATTATAAAAATCTATACATGTTATTTATTGTAGAATTATTTGTGATTGTAAAATAGTGCAAACCACTGTGACACTATAAGTGTTTGGTTGAATGAAGTTTAATATATATATATATATATATATATATATATAAAATGAATTATTATACACTTTTAAAAAGGAATATGGAGGATATAAATGAGCTAATTTAGATTTACAAAGCATATTACATGAAAAAGTAAAGTGTGAGAGAATGCATAACAGCATAGCTCTGTGTAAAAATAAGAAAAAATACACATTCAGGTTTATCTTAACACAAACTAACACAGGAAGGATAAACTAGAAAACAACGACATTCATTATCTGCAAGGCATGTGGGAAAATGCAGTAGGGAAGATATTACAGGGAATGACAGTTCTCTTAAGTATATCTTTCAAAAAAAGTTTAGACTTTGGGGTATATGTTATTTTTTTACTTACTCCAAAAAGAAAATGATTTAGTAAGAGTAGGAAAAGGAGGCAAAATTAAAACATTAAAAATCTAAATAAATTTTAATGGTAAACAACCACAGTAAGGAAAAACAACAACAAAATTTTAGCTATAAGTCATCCATCATTCCTACCTGACTAAGCCAACTGTACATCACCTGGAGTTCAAGGTCCTGATGGTACATTGCAGAAGTGGATGTGACTTTAGGTATTCTCTGTTAGGGAAGAGTGGTACAGTATATGAATTTTACGTAAGCATATGTATTTTAAAAAGTGTATGAATGGGAAACATATTGAGTAGCTACAATAATTTAAAAACCCTGATTTCTTTCTCGTCACCTATTTTTCCATATTCTAGTTACATCACTTACTATCAAAGGTATCCCAGCCTTTCCCACTTTCAGTGACAGTTATTTCTTATGCGGTTGTCCTATCCCCAGGAGCTAAATATGACAACAGGTAAGGTTTGGATCTGCTAACTTGCCATCATGGAGAGCATGACAATGGGCTAGCACTGAAGACATGTCTGAGTGGTGAACAAAATGGTGCCACGACATCGACTGAGAAATGAATCCATCCAATAAATCCCTTTTGCATGTTTAAGCCAGTTTAAGTTAGGTACTACCATATGCAACTAAAGAAACCTTAATTAATTTGCTGCAAACTTGTGATTCAAAACAGCATTCTGTTCACTGACTGATTCTTGCATAAATTTCCTCAAGTTTTAAGTGCTTAAAAATTTTCATATCAGCAAAATGTATCTGTAGAAGAACCATCATGCTTCCTCTCACATAATTACCATTTAATCTTTTGAGTTTATCATTCTACTTCTCCTACCAGGAAGCTCATACCTAAATTTAATGTTCAAATAAATTATCTGCTAGTCCTGGCTGTTGGCAGACATTTGTACTTATTTTAATAGTTCTTTTTTATGTTTCACTGTAATTAGCATCATTACACATGTCTGCTGCTATACACGACCTTCAGTTTTTTAGAAAGTGAATGTTTAATTAATAGTGTCTGGCACAGAAACACAATACATATTTGTTCACTGTAAAAATACAATTATTAAAATAGATTTTTTAGAAATTAAATGATCAGATGTCAAATAAGATGTTTAAAATATTTTATAAGCAAACAAAAATGCAAAATATCCATGTTTAGAAAACATATCAAGTATACCAGAGTGTCTTGAAGCATAAAGAGAGAATTGTGAGGCCTGAGGTCTAACTTATACAGATCCAGGCAGGTTGGGCAGAAGTAAAGGGCAGGACAGAACTACAGTAGAAGATTGCCTCATTTTTAAGCAAAGCTAGTTCTAGATTTTAGAAGAGGGTAATAGCAAATCTACATTTAGAAATGGGTTCCTACAACTTTCATTCAAACTATCTGTTCAAGTAAATGTGACATTGGGGGAATCATGGGAAAAACAAATTATAGTCTCTATTTTGTTTTTTCCTGCACTCCATGAAACCTATGTTGTTTAAACCAAGTTTAGCCTAAATTATTCTAGGTACCCAATGATAGAAAGGTGGCCTAGGATCTTCTGTCCTATTTACAAAGTTGGGAAAACAAAACAAATATAAAAGTGGAGTAACAGGAGGAAGAGGAGGAGGAAAAGTGATACAAGGAGATATTGATCACCAGGCTCCAAATGGCATTTCTGAACCACATATATTGGGTACAAGTATATTTGTGTTATAGTTTGGATCTAACATGTTCCCCAAATTTCTCATATGTGTGGAAGATGATTGGAACATTGTGTTATTCTCATTTTTGATTCATGTATTGATGAGTTCAGTAAGAGCTGAATATGGTGTCAAAAGGTGTTACTGAGTTGGAGGTGGACCACCGGGGGCATGAACTTCCAGGCTGTATTCTTGTCCACAGCTCCCCTCTTTTCTCCTCCCGGACTGCAGTAGTTTGAGAAACTTTTCCTCTGACACGCCACTCTGCTATCATATTTCTGCCTTGGATTCTGCTGACCATGTATTTGAATCATAAGCAAGAATAAACCTCTTTTACGTTAAACTATGTCAGGAATTGTGTCTCACTGATGGGAAAATATTAAGACAGATTTTGATGTCAAAAGTGGGATTTCTGTGAATGTAATTGACCATGTGGTTCAGAAACCCATGGAAGTAGTTTATGGGAAGAGTTTGGAAAGACTTGAAGATGTCAGTTGAAGAAGCTTAAGAATGATGTAAACTGAGCTGGATGGGAGATTTTGTTCAGATCATATATGACCAACATGTTAGAAATGTGGACAGTAAAGGCTAGTTGTAGTAGGTATCAGTTGGGAACAAGGATTCATTCATAGGTGGACTAGAGGCCTTGTGTGTTATAATCTGGCAGGAAAAAAAATAATTTTTCTCACATACCAAGTTTTTGCAAGGAACTAACATTAAGAGTAGTGGATTAAGTACTCTTGTGGAAGAAATTTCAAAGCAGTCCAATGTTCAGAATGTGGTATGGGTACTGTTGGTTGCTTTTAGCTAGAACTGCAGGAGCAAAATGGAGATCTGAAAAGTTTGCAGATTTATCAGCTAGAAAGTCTCTAAAAGTTGGGGGCATGGAAAGCATAGCTGCTGAAAAGACTAATATTAAAAATATACCAAGGGTGTTGCATCAGGACTATTGTAAAAATGGCTTGAGGGAATCTCAGAACCCAGGAAAACCTCAAGTTTGTAGGCTCATAGGTGCAAAACAGTAAAGTTTTCATTAGAAAAGAGAGTCCATGGGCCTCTTGCTTGAGAAGGACTTCCTAGGGAATTGATTCACTGAGATTCATTTTACATTCAGATATCCAGGAACTTAAGAAGCCTCAGCAGCCATGCCCAGAATTTGATATCATCCCTGTGGTAGTGGACTTATATGCATGCAGAATGCAAGAGTTGAGAGGGCAGTGATGGTCCCACCTAGATTTCAGAGGAAGGCCTGGGAGGTCATGCAGTATGCCCTTTTGAAGGCTATCTGAAAAGCAGTGAGAGTAAAGTATAAGGTGCAACAGAAAATAAAGGATGTTAGAGATGGCAGGAATTCAGATTATCTCCTAATAAAGATTCATAGGCAATGAACAGATTGAGCCCGTGACGGAGTCTATGAAGGCTATATCAGGCTGTAGGTTCAGGGCTTTCCAATCCCTTTGGAGATCACGTATCATCCCTAATTGCCTCAGCTGCTGGACATGGAAATACAGGATATTTGCCCTGCTGATATAATTCTGTTTAATCCCCCTATTCATCCCATTTGGAGTGGGAATGTTTACTCTGTGCCACTTTATGTTGGAATCATTTAACTTTCTTTTTGCTTTCCATAGAGGTCACAGGTAAGAGGTTGCCTTGAATTCAGAGGAGACTTTGGACTTGGAGTTTTTAGCAATGTTGGAACTGTAAAGACATTTTCTACTCTTAGAGAGGGATGAAATGTATATTGCATGAAATGAAAATCAGTCTTATGAGGATCAGGCATGGAATATTGTGGCTTAGAATGAAAATGCCCCCCCAATTATGTGTTTCATGGGAAATTAGATCATTGGGGTGCTACACTCATCAGTGTATTTATCCAATGATAAGCTGAGTAGTTAAGTATGCTGTTAGCAGGTGAGGCATAGTTGGAGGCGGGTCACTGTGGGTGTGACCTGGTAAAACATATTCTTCTCCCCAACTCCTCCCTTCTCTTTGTGCTATCTGGCTATTACTGGTTAAGCACTTCTTCCTCCACCATGACTCTGCCATCTTGTTTCTGCATTGAAACCAGCTGACCATGACTGACAATATGAGCCAAGATAAACTTCTTTAAATTGTGGGTGTCAGGTACTGTGTCCCAATGACAGGAATGTGAGTAAAACAATATGTATAACTGTAATAATTTAGCATGACCTACAAATGTGTGACATTTTTTTGCTAAATATCTGTTGCTTTGATTGCAAGATAAAATTATTTTGCCAATGATTACAGACAAAGGTTTTAATTTGTCCTTACTGTAGAAAAGATTGTCACTTAACTAATTTGCAGATTGACGCATTTTCCTGATAACTTCTAGTTATTGTACATTTGCATGTTAATTTTCTTGGGTTCTTTTGTCTTCTATATTTAAAAGGTAATCTTAAAGTGTATTACAGTGGAGAAAATATCAAGGTATATTCATAACCCAGCAGTATCCTGAAGGACTTGTTATGTTTGGTTGCTGAACAATGTATGTAACTTTTCATGAATTCTGCAATTAGCTGAATTTAGTAGAAGCAGACATCCACAAATGATGTATATCCATAAATGATCAAGGAAGATCAGGTATAAAATGTTAGAAATTTGCAGCCTTTTTATTTAGTATCCAGAGAATGCCAGTATAATATAACATGGTATCTTGAGAATTGTTGCTCACAGAGTTTTAACAAGAACAAAAATAAATATAATATTTATGTCATCTTTGGCATGTTGTAAATTCAAAATCATAGCCATTACCTTAGCAGCACTACTAAGAAACATTAAAATGCACTACTAGATTTGGTCTCATATGATAAAAAATTGAGTACAATGAATGAAAACTTCAAAGTTTAAGGAACTGTGCTTCAAAGAAAATAATTGTGAAATAAAAATGGTATAAAATCAGTAATATATTCAAATTAAGAAAATACGGTTTTCTGAACACTGGGGAAATTTTTGTTCAATTGCATCTTTTGCATTTTCATTATACCATGAATCAAATGAATACACAGTTTCTATTTACACTATTTTTGTCTTGAAAAATGCAATGGAATATGAGTCAATATAATGCTTCTATATTAGAAAAGATAGGAAGTCAAAAGTGCTTGGGAAATATTGGCAAACCAATTTTTAAAAATGCAGCTATAGTAACCTATGCTCTCTTCTCATAACCCCTATGTCATTCACAGCTACCAGTATTATATTTGTTTTAAAAAATCAAATACATGAACCTACATTTTCATTTTTGTGCTATGGAATTCATTGCAAAATAAATTTTATTACCAAACCACTCTGGAATTTGGCTATTTAAGACTTTATGTATAGCTTTAAAAGTGGTGCTTTTATAAATAAGACTTTCTTGTGTTTAAAAATAATTCCATCAACTTAAAAAAAAACCTTAAGAATTCTCCTGTAAGTCATATCAATTTCAGAAACAACAATTTTGAAGACAAATCAAATGTAGAGCAATATTAGTCAATAGGTAAGATAAAAGGAAATAATCCAATTGTTCACATCATGTCCATTACTAAAAAACTGATACACTTAATACATATATTCTCTAGGAATGTCCCACATAAAATTAGGTATTTAATAAAAATCTTCTGAAGATTAAATTAGTTCTCATAACTAGACAAGTAAAGCAAAACAGTAATCCAGAAAAGTACTATTGTGCAAGGTTTAGAAATGTAAGTAACTTGGAGATTTACATACATATATAATTTTTCTTGTTGGCCATAATTGAAAGGTACATAATTTGCCAATATAATGTAAGTAATCTTGATTATGAATTCTAAAATTACTTTTTTTTTTTACATATTTCAGAAAAACTAATGCCTATAATTAGGACTTACTGTATCTTCAAGCACAATTCCCCCATGTGTTTGCACTAAATTGATTTTTAAGTGATCAAACATTATAATTTTACTCAAATCATATGAGAGAGTTCAGTATATTGTAAGACTAAAACCAGGAACACTATATCCATGAGTATATGTTATGCATGTCAAAAAATGCCTGAAAAAGCTTCAAAATGTAAAAAGAAAATTCTAAAGAAGTTCAATAGTTAGTTGGCCAATCTGTATTTATTGTGGTTTGCATTCTTGCTGCCAACTAACATTGTGATATATAGGATCTCTACTTGCTATAATCTAGACAGAAGATACACAGATAGTTTATATTCAGACTTCCTGTGCTTTTGTTTAACAATACACTGAACAGAGGGGTAAAAGACCTTATATTATATAAATCATGTAATAAATAGTAAGTAATGTGATAAGTAGCAAGACAGACAAATATGAGCTTAACAACATATACAGAAATGACTGCCTCACTTCACAACATTTCTGCATATAAATTCATTATTTAAAACATTTGGAGGATTTTTAAAAGAAAGTGCAGGGGGCTGGGTATTTAGCTCAGCGGCACAGCACCTGCATGCCAAGCTCAAGGTCATGAGTTCAATTCTTGGTACCAGAAGAAAAAACAAAAAGAAAATAAAAAGAAAATGCACATTGAGTCATGGAAAGGTAGGAACCATCTAAAAAGGCAATATTTTAAGGGAATCTTTGACCATGAGACCTACTGTGTACGTTCCTTTGCCAAAGTATATCTTCCCTGAATATATAACTGAATTTAAAATTATTCTCATTATTATTAGTTGCCTGAAACTCCTATAACTAGAAATTCATCTATTTAATGGACATTTTATTTGTTAAATGCTGATTGTCTCTTAGTCACTAACATAAAAATGGAAATTAGTTTAGTGAGAACTTTATTTACCCTAGGTAAAAATAACTGACCTAAGATAATGGAAGTCATGCTTTGGGGAAGGAAAAAGAGGCAAGACTATTTTGGAGCAGAGAATCTTTTTGGGGACAGGGTAAACCTTAATATTGGAGTACTGCTGTGAGGTGATCAACAGGAATACTGTGAGAGGGTTGGAAAGCAATGAGAAAGAGAAAACAGAGTGCCAAGAACAAACTTTGCTTTGTTTAAATGATAATATCTGTAGTGAGCCTTAGAGCCCAAGGTATGTGGGCTTTTTCTTTCATTCATGAAAGGCCTATTTCTGTTAGGATACTATTCAATATATAGAAGTACTCTTTTAACATGTTGTTTCAGTGGGAGGAGACTTTATAAACACCAAGCATCTGTTCTTAAATTTCTGGGTTACCTAACATACAGAATTTCTTTGAGCTAAGCAAACGAACTATAAAAAATGTTTTTGCTATATTTACCAAAGCCAATGTTTAAGAATTCCTTCATGTAACAAAATAGGCTAGTTTTATCTTTATGAAAAGACTGAAACCATTGTTTTCTGCATTGTTTTCTGTACAGCGTCACAGTTATCACTACTGCATTGTAATTTTCTTGCGAAGTTTTTCTGAGTTTACTCATAGTAATATGTGCTTTAGGGAAAAAGATTATTAGTCTATCTGAAGTTTAGGATGATATATTAAGCCTGTATGAGTAAATCTTGTGTTTTCATTTGAGAAATATTAATTTAATAACATTTCCCTTCCAGAACAATAAAAAAATCAAAACTAAGATATCAGTATGTACTATCAAAACCATTAACCAGGAAGAAAAAACAATATAAAATAACTCTTCATGAGTCCATTAGAAACCACAGTATTCTAAAGTCTTGTACGAAGAATATTTTTAGTGGTAAAGCATTTATAGAACCCTCATAAAAATTTTCCATTTAAATCTGCATCTGTTGATTATATAGTTCTAGCCAAAAAAGGACATGATTAGGTATCCCTATCTGAGTGCCTTCTATAAAGAGAGGGTATAGTTTGAAGCTTTCCTTTATAATACTCTGTACACCCTCTACTAATGCTAGGGTAGCATGTTTGAATTTTCTAGCAGAAAACTTTCTTCACAACTACTGTAAGCATACCTGTGTGTTTTACACATTATCAAAGCACACTGGATAATAAAAATCATACTATTCATTGCTTACTTCTCATAGTGTTCATTTTATGATGAGTGTATGATATGACTCATTTGAGCAAATTAAATTAAAATTAATTAAGATCATCTACTTTTAAAATCACTGGTTATCGAAAACCTGGAGGTTCTTTTTGTGATCACATTTCATTTACCCATTTTATGTCATTTAATGTTATTTCTTAAAAACCTTATGTGGGAACTAGTATATGTCCTGAAAAGTTCAACATCAAAATTATACTCTTGAGTTTGATTTATCAATTCTGAGAGGAAGAAGGAATACAACACAAACAAGATAATGACAGCAGTAAAATAACTCAAAATATATGGACACGAATTGTTACATGCAAGTAGCTAATGTAATAAAGAAAAATAAGGAAAGAAAATGCCACTTTGAAAAATAAAAAGCCAGAAAGTATCATACCAGCCTATTTCTAAATAATGTTTTCACATGGCATTCGATATTTTGCAATGTCTTTCAATTATTTCCAAAAGTTACCTCAAAAGTAGAATACATACATTTATATATCACACTCAGGAAACAACTTTGTGCATGGGGTATAGATTACTTACATTATAAAGAGAATATGTATAGTTTCTTTTATTAAATACCAAAGATACATGTCTTCTAGCCTAAATCATATACTCAATAATCACTCTCTGTGAACTAAGCAAAATGAAATCCACAGCAAATAGTACATGTAGCACGCACAAGTAGCTCTCTTACATTCACTAGACAAAATTCATATTCTCCAGTTTATATTCATTAATTCTTTTTGTCAGTAATAGTAGTCATGGCATTTTCTTCAACAACACAAAATGATTCTTTAAAATTTCAGCATTCAGAGAAAATAATACATATTACACAGTGGTTCTGGATAATTAATTTAATGGTAAAATGTTTTGGTCAGATTATTTATAAATATGATTTTTAAAATGTGGTCCAATTTTTTGTAGATCATTAATATTACTTCCTATTTATGTGGCAAGGTCTAAAGTTTACTAAGCTATTCCGCTGTAGCATATGTGCTGAGTGCACAAGTACATTATAGTTAAATTTCACCTAAATAACCATAAGATTCCAGGTAAATCCATATGCTACACTGTAATTCAAAGCACATGGATATCAAGAAAAAAAAACAGTGCAGCTCATGTATAAATAAGTAGACAGTGATTGAATCCAATGGGCTAACTTGAAAGTCAGCTTACATTATGCAAGACTGTGCCAACAGTAAGTATTTTATTTTCAAGGCTTAACTGTGGCATATTAAGAAGATTACAAGACCACTATAAAGCCTCTGGCTAAACAATTATTCACTGTACTATAATTATTTTATATGTAAACTGTTAAAAGCCTTATGTAAACCTTTTTAGATGTGGCCACTTATGGTTAATATACAGAACTGCCTACAGAGATTATTGGCAATTTAAGTCTTGTGGAGAAACTTTGGCACCAATCGTATCAGGAATTTGTATTTTAGCACAAAGGTATCTTGTTCTGGCACCAAAATACTATGACTGCATTTTAGTAACTAGAGAGAATCAAATAAATTGAGTCCTTTGGTTGTGCATAACAAGCTTATACAATACAGTACTTGTTTTTTTTAAAAAAGAAAAAAAAATTCTTTCAGGATCTGATGTTAAAAAATACTGACATTGCTTGGCATTATGCTATAAGCATTTTGATTACTGTTAGTGAATTCACAAACACTGTATGAAACAGAGAAAACTAATACAGTAACTTTATTTGAAAGAAATTTTAGAAGCTAGTGTGCAGAGAATTTAAGACCTGTTGAGACCACTTATATGCTTAAATAAACACTCAGACACTACTGTAAAACAACATAATATAAATACTATGGACCTGTGTCATGTTTTTTTAATCTTACTTGCCCTAAAAAGGGGGACTTAAATAGAATATTCAAGTAATGTAACAGAATATAATGCCTTCGATATGAAATTAGAAAAAGCCACATGTTTAATTTTCTCTTCATCCAGGTTAGCTGAGGAACAATGCAAATCTTACAAGCCAGTTGATGTTCGCTTTTTCATGCTCCGTCGCTGAGCTAGGCTTGAAGCAGCAACAGGTTCTAGGATTGGTTGAAAAGTCTTATGCAGCAGGGCAGAATATGTAGCAACCACTGTTCCCTGAAATAAGAAGAAAACAGCCAGGTAAGTAACAGTCTCTGTAGTAAAAAACAAACAAAAAACCCCCTACATTGTATCATGAGCCATATTTCTAGAACAAAACTTTTTCATAGAAAAGTAAATGAGTATATTCACAGTACTGACACAGCCTTGATAAATCAATTCCGGATTATTATCTATTTTACACATAATACATCATGTTTCTTACAAAAAAAATTCTTAAACATTAAAATTTAAAATTTAGGTTTAATGACTATGGATATAAGAACTTGTATGAATGGTTATAATATAGTAACTAACAATTTTTGTTTCCATCTGAAACTTACACTGAGTCCACTCCTAGCCAAAGTGTCAATTAAAAGAAACGCAACTGAAACTAAGGTAGTTTTATATTATCATAAGAAAAGCAAAACTAAAGAAAGTGAAGAAAAGTACATGATTGCTATTTTAAAGAAAACCAAATTTCAAAACAATTATCACAACCATTGTTGAATTCCTACCATGTTGTTTAGTGAAGCTCTGTATCGTTTCTAATTTTTTATTACTTTTTATTATCTTTAATTGTTTGATCAACCTTGCATTCTTACATCTGGTAATCTGGGCAACTTCCTTGAAGATAACAATATACAATATAACAACCATTGTTAATTCCTATCATCTTGTTTTGAAGTCCTGTATCATTTTTTTGTTTTGTTTTTGTCTTTATTGTTGTTACTTTGTTATTGTTTTTTTCTCTTTAAAAATAAATAAATAAAAGAAAAAAATCAATAAATTTTCCAGTCAAATCTTAAAAAATTATCTTTAAGAAATAAAGGTGCTTTAAGGAATTATTTAAGCATCGTCAATGAAGAACATATAAAAACTTCATTAGGTATTAAGTCATTAGAAGTCACATACAAGTATGTTCATTTTACCTTAACAACATGTGATGCATCATTGCTTTTTGGCTGATCATTTGGCAGCTGGTCTCTGTGGGCTATCCATGAGTGTTTTAATATTTGTTGAGTAGTGTACCGCTGATGTGGGTCCACATGAAGCATGTGAGACAGCAAATCCTAAATGAAAAAGAACAATTTATACAAAAATAGGTAACATTAAATATTTCATCAAAAGAAGAAAGCATCAGTAACTTTGTAATCTGTTGTATTTGACTATACTTAGGAAAAAACAAAATCTATGCTCTGCACTTACCTGTCAAAACAACTAAAAACAGATTTTCTACTAGAGTAAATCCTTGCTTATTATTTTTAAATCAGGAGATACCACATTTCTGGAACCAGGATATTGTTAGTGATACAGGAGGAAAACGAAAAGAGAGAGGAGTTAACCTGGGATGCACTAAATAGTCAAGAGGAGATAATAACTACCAAACTGCTGGTAAACTGGGTCCTAAGGTGTAAAGGCACAACACAGAAGGGAAGGACCCATTAGTTAATCACTGAAAACTAGGGGCTGCTTGCAAAACATACTAAAGAAAGCAAAATATAAATCCAATGTTATTAACTGGTTTCTAACATTGTACAGGAATGAATATCATGTTTTTAAGATCATAGTAACTCGGAACATGCCTATTCAGTCTCTTGTAATTAGAATATGGTGAACTTAACATATCCTCAGTAATGCTCAATTTTAAATATATTATGTAATACCTTTAAATAAGCTATCCCAGGAATAATTTATAAATAGTAAACTCTCCTTAACATGCATTTTCAATATGAAAACAAAATTATTGTTGCAAATCTTTCCTAAATATCAAAAGCACTGAAATATGAGACTAAATAGTAGTATCAAATTCTAAATACCATCATTGGTTAAAACTATGTGAGGGAATAGGACAGACAAACAAAATAATCTATTAGGAAAGTAACAGATATACTGAAGTAAATATAAAATTAATATTATATAAGATTATGAATTATTTCAATAGAACAGACCTAAATGCCAATAGTAAGAATTAAAATAGAACTTCTGTATGGTCAGTCAACCCCACTACTGTGTATATACAGTAAGGAAATGAGAAAAGTATCTCAAAAAGACATTTGTACTCCCATATTCATTGTAGCACTAGTCACAGTAGCCAAGTAATGGAACTACCTAAGAGTCCATTAGTTAAAAACAGGTAAAAGAAAATCTGGTACATACACAATAGAATAATATTCATCCATAAAACCAATGAAGTCCTGCCATGTGTGACAACATGGATGAAACTGGAGGGTAGTATGTTAAGTAATCCAAGGAGTGAAAGAGAACTTATCACAAGATCTTATTACAGAGAATTTTAAAAAGTCAATCTCGTAGAAATTGAGATTGTTGTCAGAGAAATTGAGATTGTTGTCAAAACAGTGTTGTCAGAGGCTGGAGAACACAGGTGGGAGGGAAGAATGGGAAAAGGATGATCAATGGGTAATAATTTACAGTAGCAAGAAGCCCTGGTGTGCTACTGCACAGTACGATGCAACATAGATAGAGATAATGCACGGTACATTTCAAAAACAAGAAGAAATGATTTTCAAAGTTTTCATCATAAAAATGGTACATATTTGAGGAGATAAATGTTTACCCTGATTTGAACACTGCACAGTGTATACACGTATTGAAACATTACATTGTACTCAATTAATAGGCAAAAATTTTTATGACAGTTAAATTAAATAAATAACTGTAGCAAAACAAAAGATAAATTTCAATACTTCAAGGACTTCTGCTTACCAAGATACAGTACCAGGGACTAGATTTACCTGCTCACCCCAACCCTGAAACTGAACACCAAAAATCAACAAACATAATGAGACAACAGTTTTGAGGAAATGTGATGTTAGTCAATGAAGGAAATGACCAATAAGAAATGGGAGGTAAATGGGGTACACAGTAGTTGCTCTACCTTATCACCTCAAGAGTTTTCATGTAACTGTGCAGGTAAGGGAAACTCGGACAGAGGCTGTGGGTTTGAGCTGAGGAGAGAGAACTAAGAGGTACTCAAGGCAGACAGAGTCAGTAAGATAGTAAGAAAGAGGTGAGAGGAGAATAGACAGAGAGAATTATGTTCTGTAGAGGATTTCCCCCAGGTATTCAGATTATTACAACAAATATGTATTTGAGAAAAAAAGGGAAGGCCTCAAAAACTGTCTAAAATGACTAGAGGAAAATATGAACTAATAATAGTATAATATATAATATGAACTAATGATTATATATAATATGAACTAATATGAAAATATGAACTAATTATAGTATAATATATAATACTACTAATAATAAATCTATATAAGTAATGTATTCACTCAAAAATATTTAGTTTCAAGTAGGAGAGGCAATATTCAGGGAAAAAACTGATTACTATGATATTTTAGATCATAAATGTTGAAAAATATTGCTTAACTTTTTAGACATAATTTGTGTGATTTTAAAGAAGTAGGAGTAAAAATGGTACCATGAAAAAAGAAGAAATCCTTCAGGGTGGGGAATACTATGATCCAACTAGCTAGACTAAAAAAACCTCAGAATTCATAAAGAATTTAACAGAGTATTTGGAAGGATCTTGCCTGAATAGTAAGTAGCTTCGGACTAAACACTATTCTAGTTTTGCTTATAAAAATCTTAAAATAAGACCTAGAAGCTCAAGAATGTTAAATAGGAATACAAATGTGTCCAGTACTCACCAAGATAAAAAAATCAAAATGTTTGCCATCTTACCTAAATAGCAGGTGTTCAAAAACTGCAGGAAAGTACAATTACAAAAACTGAAAGTAAATCAAAACTAACCTAGGACTGACATGTTAGAATTAGTCAATAAGGTCATTAAAACACATCTAACTTTATTCTAGATGTTTAAGTGTAGAACAGACACAGAGAAGATAGAAAAAGTTTTGTATCAAAAATGTGGAAGTGAATTAAAATGTAAGTTCAGAAATTAATATAACAAAAAATTTAGCAGAGAAAAAGATTGGTGAAGACAGCAATAGAATCTATTAAAAAAGAATCAGAGTACGGAACATGCAAAAGAACAGAGCATCGGTTAGTTGTGGGAGAACTTCAAGTAGAATATATGTAAATTGGAGCCGTAGAAGAAAAGGGGGGCAAATAAAATAATTGAAAAAATAGTAATCCCAAATTTGGTGAAAATCTGAATCCAAGAAACACACTGAAGCTCAAATGCAAGAAAAAATAAAGAAAATTACATAAAAACAAAGCAAACCAAATTGCTCAAAACCCACCATACAGAGAAAATTTTCTAATAGCAAAAGGAAGAAAAAAATGTTACATATAGTGAAAGATAAGGATAAATAACTTGTCATCAGAAAAACTTCAAATGAGAAGACTGGAAAATAATTTAAAAGTCCATAAACATATATGTCTGATTTATTTCACTCAAAAATGTGCTCTGCAGGTATATCCATTTACAAAAAGTGTCTCAAATTTGTCATTCTTCATGGCAGTGTAGTACTCTGTTGTACATGAAAAACACATTTTCTTTATCCATTCATCCATTGATGGGCATCTAGTCTGTTCCCAAGATTTAGCTACTACAAATTTTATTGCTATAAACATGGGTGTGCATGTATCACTTTGGTATGCTATTCTTAGCTCTTTTGAGAAGATACCAAGATTGGGAGTAGCTGTGTCAAATGGAATCTCTAGTTTTAGTTTTTTGAAGAATCTTCATACTGATTTCCATATTGGTTGTACCAATTTACACTCCCAGAAAAAGTGAAGAAGGTTTCCTTTTTCACCACAGCCTTGTCAGCATTTGTTCTTAATTACTTGATGATAGCTATTCCACACTGTTTCTCTTGTGTGAGAAACTAAAAGTGTAAATAAGGAAGAAAATAGATGATAGATATTAGAAAGTATTAAGACAATGTTCAAACAGCAAGAAAGAAAAGGAAAGGGGTAGAGGGAAGGGGAGGAAGGGAAGGAAAAACAGGAACAAAAGGAAAAAATGGAAACAAAGCTTTTGTAAATGAGGAAAAAAAGAGTTGAAGGGAGTTTAAGGCAATGGGGAAGAAAGGACAAACCAATGTATATCATGTACAGGTACAAATTCCCTATGATGAATGTGATCAGTATGTATATCAAAAGTGTATCAAAATTTAGTAAAAATAAGATAAAACATTTATTTTATTTTATTTTATTTTATTTTTTTTCTCCGGTACCGGGAACCGAACTCACGACCTTGCGCTTGCCAGGCAGGCGCTGAGCTAAATCCCCAGCCCCCAAGATAAAACATTTTTTTTTTCCAAGATAAAACATTTAATGGAGGTAAAACTCTCAACTTAGAATTTTATAATCAATGAAAATATTTTTCTAAAATAAAGTCAAATACTATTAACAGTAAGGAAAGTTATTTCATACTGGTAAGAGGGACAATTAAGATGACAAGCATAAACATTATTCATATGTAAATGGAGTTTCAAAATACATGAAAGCAAAATCATTGAAATTATAAAGAAGAATAATCCATAATTATACATGAAGTATAAAAGTAGACATTATAGAATTTATAGGTATTAACAGGTTAGTAATAAAGTATTAAAAAAGTTTTCTGCTAATAAACTTAACATTGGTTACCTCCCTTCAAGGAAAAAAAGAATACCAATGCCCAATCAAGAAGGAACAGAGTAAATAGACATGTCCATATATACGTTTACAGCTAAAAACTAAAAAAAATTCCAGTCCCAGATGGCTTCAATGGTGAATTCTAAAACACACTTAACTAACTCAAGCCACACAGGACAGGCATGGGATATAAGGTCTCCTGCTCTTTTGCCTTTCACCAATCAAAAGATGCTGCAGCCCAGCAGCAAATTCCACAGACACACACAGAAGCAAGTGAACTGCTCCCTCTTGATGAGCTGCCACGGCTTTTTGCTTGTTTTTGTAGTGAAGGGAACAGTATAACCCCTCCTGTTCTGGAACCACTGGCTTGAGGGTTGGGAGATTTAAGCAGCCCTGATCCACAGTGAGTGAGAGACTGGCATTCCATGTGCAGGAGGGGAATCAAAGTGTGACCTAGCAGCCCTGGGCTGTCTCTGTGGCAATTGGCAGGAGCAGATAA